AGAACAAAGCTACATGAGAAATAATGCATCAACACTTTATCGGAGTAAAACATCAAGCATGTTGACCATTCAACCACATTAATACATCTTAAACATGTTCTTTTTTACTAAAAATCAATTGAACCAATTGAAAAGTTACATTAGATAGTCTTAAGTTGGCAACTGTCATATGAGTTAATACATCACGGAAAATATTCATAACAGCACCTTTTCAGGCTTTTCTTTTCAATTCTTAGGTTATTTTTGCTTCAACTAAGTGCAATTCTAGTTGAAGGCAAGTTGTGCCAAGGAACATCAAGATATACCAATCTAAGGCATACTTAAAAAATAAATTCTGAAGCTTTAATTACACTTCAAGTTGCTTTTGATCCTCAACATTATCTTAGCTTCTCTGCTACCTTTCTAATTATTGGAAGTTGAAACAGTGCCCCACACATTTCTTAGTACAAACTGACTAATTTTCTTAATAATATTTTCTCTTTTTTTTTTTTCTCAATTCTCACAGGTATCAATCATTCTCCTCATGGTAAATAATCCTTGACCAGCATCTAATTTCCTCAAACCACAATTCATCCTTTCTCCATTTTTTATCATAAGGTTATCCTCCAATTTAGTGCGACATTTTGCCCATTAATAAAGTTTCATCCAATCAATTATCATTCCAAGAATCATTCAGAAAGTTGGATCCTTTGAGACAAAGGCTGGTGAATCAAAAGTCCATGACAAGCGAACCATACATAGTTTGGGTACTGAAAGACTTCACATTGGCGGATAAATTGCCAATAAATTTCAGGTATTTTATCATTCTACATATTTTCAATTTATATAACCTCCAGTACAGTTAGAGGCATCGAAATATCAAATCCACCTCATAATCCCTATTCGCTGCTAAAAGACATCAATCAGACACTCTTATCATTAGAATCCCGATCAAATCTATGCACCAGTAGTTCTCTCCAACATAATATTCCAACCAAAGAATTTAAAGAACCAACTAATGTCAACAAAAGTATTCAAAACACAGCCAATTGAATTACACGTCAGATTCCATGTCCACCTAAACAGCAAAACAATCTCTCCCACATTAAAATCTAAAATTTCCATTTGGCGATCCAAATACTATCAGAAACGACGCAAACACACATCAAAATAATACATGACTGTCTAAAAGTTGAATCATAGATACTCTTCTCGCGGGTACAACGGATTGAGAACTCACCATTGCCGGTGTACCAAGACCCAGCGTGAGCATCTCTCCTAACCCTCTCCATCGAATCGCTCCACGAACGAAGATCAACCACCAACCTGAGCCGAAAGATAAGTCTATGAGAGAACCCAGAAAGGATACGTAGGGCAAAGGGAACGATTGAAAGAGATCGATCGATCGACTTAAATAGGTGTGAGTGGAGGGGGAGGGAGAAGTCGAAGCGGAATACGATCAGAAACCCATTGGTCGAGGTTAACGCGTGACGGATGCGGTGTAATGCCCTCTTTTAAACTTGTAGTTAGAGCTGTGTTGGATGCGAAGAGATTATGTAGATCAACGGTCATTATTGAAAACGGATACCTGCGTGCCGATAACCCAGCGGAAGTACAGGATTTTTTGTTAGATCACGTATAACTAGCATTTCTATTAAATACCCGCGCGCCTACCTGTTCCACGAATGGAGGTGACGTGGGCCCCCCGAAGACCTAATGTGCGGACGTCGATCATACTATTAAATTAGGCTTGGTAGAAAGCGCTGGTTCAATCCGAACTACGTCGAACTTATTAGTGACACTAAAACAGCACAATGTAAAGTAATTTTTATTCACAGCAATATTTTTACCTTTTACTAATGTTATTAAGAATTTATCGGTTTTATATTTCTAGTATTTTTTTTTGTTGAATTTTGTGGCATGTCAAATATCTATATATTCCTACGATTGCGTCTCACAATATATGCAATTTTCTTAGTATATTTGAATTTTATTTTCTTAGTTCATATAAGTATAAGCTTTGAACCTTCTTTATGTATTAGTTAATTCATTACAAAAATTTCATATGAAATTAGGCTAACGTTGTATTACAAGTTATATTAACTATTTGATGAGATTATACTCATTCAAATATTCGACGCCAAATTCTGCAATAATTGAGAATGGGGCCTCGGAACAGTTTGGTATCCTGGGTGATGTATCAACTGCAACTCTGTTTGTCTACATTCTATGCCAAGCCAATCTTGTCACGGGTGCAAGGAAGAAGAGAACATGGGCAGGCATGAGAAGCATCTGCCATGGAGTTGTTGTCTGCTTCCTTTCCTCATTGCAAGGCAACAGTGGTGTCCCTTTCATCACAACACTCTCCTTCTCTCATGCCGTGATTGCAGCTTCGGTCCCATCATTCTCTTTTCCTTGGGGCAGTTTTGCCGAGCTCTTATGAGCAGCATAAACAATGAAACAAAGTTGCAGTCAATGTTGTCTTGCACTTTAAACCTCCTGCTATGATTGATACACTGCCGTGTTGGGGAAACTGAAGCATCACAGGATTAAAGCTTAAGCTAGTAGGGATAGTATGACCAACATCATCATGCTGCTTCAATTCATGTGGGGTCATTATTCTCATGTATAGTTTTCTTCGTCTAACCTTCATGATGGAGAGCTCACTGATGTGTTCGAGGGCAAACGAGGCACATGAAGAGATTCTGAGTCTTGTGTCTTCATGGAGGGGTAATGCATGCTTCCACTGCATGTGAATTCAAAGAAACCAAATCGGATGAGCCCACCAGCTTGACTGCAGAAGAGCTCCACACTTCCACCCCTCCTCTGCTTCCCTATAAAGCCATTAGAAGCAGTTGAATCCGCAGAGAAGCACGGAATCATGGACTGGCACTCCTGGCTCGCCAAGTCCAGCCTTGAGCCATCGCTGGCTTACGAGTATGGCCTCCTGTTCATGGACAACGAGCTGGAGGAGGAGGATATAGCCTACTTCGACCATGACTTCCTCCAGAGCATGGGCATATCCGTGGCGAAGCACAGGTTGGAGATCCTGAAACTAGCCAAGAACGACGGCAGGGCGACGCCGGTCCCTGTCGCCAAGCTCGCTGCCGTAATCAGCAAGTCCAAGAACTGCCTCACGAGGTATGTCCGCGCGATGGGCTGCACGAACGGTCCCGCGATCTTGGTCGTGGCCAACGCCACGTACGGCGACCGCTGGAGCGGGGCCGCGATGAGGAGGAAGGCGAAGCTGGCGCTACTGAAGCAGGGCAGGCTGATGATCGCCGACCGCGGCATGAGCGTCGCCGCCGATCTGCCGTCTCGATCCCACAGCGCTAGCCCGATGGTTCGCGGCTGTCATGGCAACAGCAACGCCGCTGCTGATGACGGCTACCGGGGGCCTGCAGTCGGAGCCATGAGGTGGGACTCCATGTTCGACAACTTGAAGCCCACATGAGAGACCCTGTGCTGCGCGTGAGCTTCACCTTGTTTCATTTGATTCAGAAGACTGCACGAGCTTCATCTTTGTACAGTCTATGTTTTCTTCTTTTCTTTTCCTGTCAAGTGTGAGCTCCCATGGAAATATAACATACGAAATTACAGACCGATTTGTGTAAATAGATCGAGGAAATGGTGCTTTTGTTTCACCTTCAATGTTTGTGTCAGTGTCAACATCTTTACGCCGTGGCTTCAGGGCCAATACTGTTGGGTTCGAATCCGAATGATTGGAGATTTTCCTGAACGACCATTGAGACTGCTGAGGTAACCGACCGTGGTGGTCCGATCACGACGGGGTCACTGTTTTCTCCGGGAGGAGACCCCTTGCCTGGGCCTTCGGTGGAAGACATTCCGTCTTCATCCCTGCACATAGGTCGGGTCGGGAGAGCTCGGCCCGATCCCTCCGACGATCAAGTTAGTCAATAATCTCAGGGGGTTTTTTTTTTTTTTTTTCCCTCCTCTTCGTTCCAAACGTGAGGGATTTTATAGGGAAGGTCACCATTTCCTGATATGCCCGCTTGTAAAGAGTAGGGTCGTACCTGGGATAACGTCTGACACCGGCATTGGCATTGCGTGAAGGACCGGGCTTATGCAGAATGATGGCGTGCCTCAGTCGACGTTTTGATCTGCTTCGACCAGACGTTATCAGGTCAGACCAAGGCAAGACGACCCCCACAACTCCTCAATCTACGTGACCTAGGAGACGTCACCCGAGAGCCGATGACGTTAGTTCATGTCCCATCATTATTATTATCCTCATCAATTTGGTCATCGAGACTAAGCAAAACAACCGTTCAACCTACAGTTGTGTGTCTGAATTGGATTGCGTCAGAGACGTGCAGGCAAGGGATTAGATTGCAGCAGCTCGAGAGGATGGAGACGTGCGAACCACTCGACCACATCCCCTTTCTCGACCGGCCCCTGTTCCCTCATTAATTTAAATGCCATATCTTCCTGTTCCATTTAGCTGCATGCATGATAGATCTGCTCATCTCAAGGCTCCAGATTCTATCTACGTAAGATGAATCCAGAGCCAGAGAATAAACCATGGACGGCTAACACAGGTACAGAGAACATGGCTACACATGGAAGCTGCTCCGCAAGTTGATAGCGTACACATCTTCCCAACTCTCGCAAGTTATTTTTGTGCTGGCGGAGTTGAATTCCTCCCCTGTTTTCTTAAGAGACCTCCTCCGTCCTCCGTCCTCCGTTCATTCATCCCCACCACCGAGGCTCTGTCGTGCTGCATGTGGTCACGATTTCGGTTCCAAGTCTATGGAACAAAGTATTCAAATCGATTTTATTGGGCTGTGGAAATGAAGCACTAAAAAGGTTGAAGACCTTCCCCCCATCTGTCTCCGAACGTTGGAGAAGCTGTGATGGGGTTCGACATACCGTGATTTGCGCGTGGGAGCCCCACTCGGACACAACGAATCAAGACACGACACCAACCAATGAAACACCTTTTCACTGTGAATTAATATCATTTTACAGTTTTTTTGTGTTTAGAAAGATATAATTAATTATTGGTTATAGAAAAAAAAGAATAATTTGCAGTCGGTGATTCGACGGTTGGGTGGCGTAAATCCGACATCCATATTTTGCTGCAATTAAAACAGAAAGAAACAGAAAAGAAAGCGGCGCATTCGTCTCCTCTGCATCTCCCCAGCTCAGACCCAGCCATGGACGCGACGACACCAGCACACACGGTTACGAAGCAGCAGCAGCAGAGGAAGAAGCCAACCAACATATAAGAAACCCTCCCCTCACCATCGATGCCACCGAATCCCGTCCCCATGGCCGTCTCCCCCTCTCGTCGTCCCTCGTCGTCGCCTCCTTCCCCGCCCGACCCAGATCCCGACCTCCTCCGCCACCTTCTCCAGCTCTCCCGTGACGTCTCCCCGTCACCGCCCCCATCGTGGCACGCCTCGCTCCGCGTCGGTCACAACTTCTCCTCCGTCCCCCGCAACTTCAAACAGCTTTCTCTTCTCTTCGAGGAGCTCCTTCAGCACACGCGAGGCTGCGACTTTGCGATGCCGCGCTCGGCTTCGCTCTGCTTTCGCGAGATGTTTCTTGTCTTCCACCGTGTCAAGGCACTCTTTCACGACAGCTCCGGCCGCAGCCGCGCCTTCCACCTCTTCCGGGCCGAGCGCCTCGCCGCCGAGCTCCACGAGCAAGTCGTCGACCTCGCCACCCTGCTTGACATCCTCCCGTTGGCGGAGCTTCCGGTCTCTGAGGACGTGAGGGACCTCGTCCGCCTCCTCCTCCGCCAGTTCCGCCGCTCCTCCACCGCCGTCGAACCCGCCGCTCTCTCCCTCCGCCGGGACGTCCTCGAGCTCATCGCTGAAATCGAGAGAGGGGCGGTACCCGATCGGGACGCGCTGCAGGGGATCTTCCTGCGGCTCGGCCTCGATGACTCCAGGAGCTGCGGCCGTGAGATCGACCGCCTCGAGCGCGATATCGGTGATTGCGCCGCCGACCATAGGTGGGCGCCCGTCATGGTGGCGCTCGCTGGGATCCTCCGCTACGCCAAGTGCGTCCTCTTCGGCGCCTCGATTCCGAGGTCTGACTCTTCTGCCGCCGCAGGCGGTAAACAATCGTCCTCCGCGTTGGAGAACATCACGGTGCCGGCGGACTTCCGGTGCCCAATCTCGCTGGACCTGATGCGGGACCCGGTGGTGGTGGCCACCGGGCAGACGTACGACCGAGAGCCCATTGTCCGGTGGATCGGCTCCGGACACGCCACCTGCCCCAAGTCCGGCCAGTCGCTCGCCCACCTCGAGCTCGTCCCCAACCGCGCCCTGAAGAACCTTATAGCCCGGTGGTGCCACGACAACAACGTCCCCTTCGACGCATCTGATCGTAACGTCACCGCTACCGTCACAAGCAACAACAAGAAGCCTGCCGATCGCGACATTACCACCCCAGCCGGAACGAACAAGGCGGCGCTGGAAGCGGCGAGGATGACGGCGTCCTTCCTCGTGGGAGAGCTCGCAGTGGCGCCGTCGACGGAGGCCGCGAACCGCGTCGTCCACGAGCTCCGGTTGCTAGCTAAGCACGGGTCCGACAACCGCGCATTTGTGGCGGAAGCCGGCGCGATCCCCCTCCTCCTCCCGCTACTCCGGTCGGACGACACGGGGCTCCAACTCAACGCCGTAACGGCGCTGCTCAACCTGTCGATCATGGAGGCCAACAAGCGGCGCATCATGCACACGGACGGCGCCGTCGACCTCTTCGTCCACATCCTGGCGAAGGGCGCCACGTGGCGGGCGAAGGAGAACGCCGCCGCCACCGTGTTCAGCCTCACCACCGTGCACTCCTACCGGCGGCGGCTCGGGCGGCACCCGCGCGTCGTGGAGTTGCTGCTGCAGATGGCACGGGTGGGCCCCGCCAACGCGAAGAAGGACGCGATGGCGGCCATCATGGGACTCGCCGGGGACCGCGAGAACACTGGGCGGCTGGTGGAGGCCGGGGTCGTGCGAGTGGCGCTGGAGGTCTCCGGGGAGCCGGAGGCGGCGGAGGAGGCCGTGGCAGTGTTGGCTGCGGTGGCGAAGAAGGGAGGAGCAGAGGCGGTGGCGGAAGCGGAGGGGGCGGTGGCGAGGCTGGTGGGTGTGCTTCGACGGGGGTCGGACTGGGCGAGGGAGAGCGCGGCGGCGGCGCTGGTGGAGGTGTGCCGGCAGTCGGGCGCGGAGGTGGTGGCGGAGCTAGTGGCAGTGCCGGGAATCGAGTGGGTGATATGGGAGCTGATGGAGGCGGGGACGGAGCGCGCGAGGCGAAAGGCGGCGGCTCTGGCGCGTATATGCCGGAGGTGGGCGGCAGCGGTGGAGGCGGAACGAACGGCCAGATACTCGGAGATGAGCATACCCGCGTCGTCCACCACCGTCTCATGATCGAAAGATGAAGCTGAGAATTCCAGTTGTCTTCGTCGGTGTACAGTCAGGATTAGTTAGTTAGTTCTGCTGCTGAGAATCGGACGGCCGTGATTCTTTCTCATCAACTGTGCATAACTGAGTGATTTATATTTCTTTTAATTTATGATACCGACAATAATACTCGACCACTGAATTGTGCCCATTTGCATGTCTTTGGACAAACCCATAAAAACCAGCATTATTTGAAATATGGCAGTGTTTTCATGTCATGTTATGGGTGATTTCTTTATATTATTTTTTTCTGCAATATTTACCTCTTATTTTTATTTTTTTCGATTATCTAATATAATTGAGCCAATTGATTCACTTGAATCTATTCAGCCTAATTCAACATTTGAAATATATATACTTATATTAATAAAACTAAGCATATACAATTTATGTTGAAAACCCAAAAATACAAATACTATAGAAATAACAAAGTAAATATCATATTATTGCTTAAATAATATTATTTAATTTAACATTTTAAATAAAACAATAAAATTGTCAACAAAAAAAAATCATTTGATGGTTATAAAATAAATTTTGGTGGTTTTAGAAAAAGCTTAAAACTTAAAATGTCATTGATTTCATCTCATTCAAGATTGAAATAGTGTCTGAATTGATTTTCTATAACAAGTAGTCTCTCATTTCATAGTTCTCATGCCTAAAAACCTTTCATATACTTTTATAAGTTTTGAAATAAAGTTTAATTTCTCTTTTATTAAAAATCAGGATAACCTCTTTCAAAATTATCATTACTTAGGTCATATGAAACTTAGAATACCTAAATTCATGTGAAGCTCTTGGAGATGTTAATGAGATTTTAACTTGATTTTGTTGATATTCTTATTAATCTTGACTTATCTTATTTAAAATTAATTATTATAGTCAAAATGAGGGGTTTAAGCATGAAATGGAAACTATACATAATTATTGCTTCTTCTTTTTTTAAATTTTATTGTTTTAATTATTTATTTAAATATTAGTTAAACATATTAATATTTTAACATTTGACATGCCACACATCGAGTTTAGTTAATATCTAAAATTTTATTGATTTATTTGATCATTTTATTCTAATTTAATACATAATCTTTTTTTTATAATCAATTATATGATTTTTTTTATTATTTTTAAATTCATATAATTAAATATATTTAAGAGTCTACTCGATGTGTTTTTTCTAATCTTAGAAAATGATGCATGAGTGAGTTGAGTGGTCTTCGTGCTTATCGCAACACTATAATACACGTCTTCTCTCCATCAATTTTGTCATTATTATTATTATTATTATTATTTTGTAAAGCTCATCACATTTGTTTATTGCCTCTCATGCTTATCTGAACAGTGAAAGTCTCACCTCATCTCCAATCGATCGACGATGACTTTAATACTATAGTAAAACTATCGGGCACCTTTTTCCAATAGGAATGCCAACTTTGGTACCACAATTCTTCTTCATCATCATCATGACATCAATCTTTAATATCGAGAACTTTGGTGTGGGAGCAAGTGCTGCAATTAATTATATTCAGGAGGCCAATCATTTCTTCACCACTTTGGAAATTGGAGCTCTCACAGTTGACTTTTTATCGTCGATGAGTGATATCTCTATGGATTAGGTTAGCTCAACTCTTGTATCTTTCTTGGATCTACCATTAAGATCGGTATAATTGATCATTTTGATTATGATATAATGATACTTAAACTAAATTTTGATTTGATTTATTCTTAAATGTCAACCAACTTAACTAACCAAATGACACAAAGAAGAAGAGTATGGAATGAGTGGAGAAGTTTGATTGATGTTGCATTATTACTTATCAACTTACAAGCCCTAACTAAAAGAGGCAATAGGTATAGGATAAGGAAGAAGTATCAATGAGCTTCTTTTAGTCCATGCTTTTAGCCCTAACATTGTCCAACTGTAAAAATACTGTATATTATTTTTTGATATTATTAAAAATACTATAATAATGTTTCAAGAAATATTATAACTAAACCATTTCACCTTATGAACTAGTTCATAAGAAAATGAAGAAAAAAACAATGGATGATTGACTTGATACATTCACCTAAAAAATAATAAAATATAATTTTATTAAATATAATCCCTAAATTATCGATCAATGTCTTTGTTATCCACAATCCATCAATTACTAATTATAGACTCGGAATATGACATCTTTTTGATTTGTGTAGACTAACTTAAAAGTAGACATCATTGAAAACTATCATATAAAATGCTCAAAATATCATCTTTTGGGTCTATAATTTGATGTCTTAAATATTACAAATATTAAAGCGATCTAACAAACATAAAAACCTATTTTCTCTTCGGTCTATATCGTCCCATTTGATTGTTTATCTTTTTTTTTTTAATCATTTTGTATCACCAATTACGAAAGATGCTTCAATGATTAGAAGGATACAAAGAAAATGAAAAAAAAAAAAAAAAAAAAGAGAAGAGAAAGTATATGGAAGAATTGTCAACATTAAGCGATAAGCTAAAAGGTCTTTTAGGAATATTAAGAGTAGTTAAGAAGATGAGATCGTAAATAGTAAAAATAAAATATCAATAGAAATCTTCTTATGAAAATAAGAGGGACTTTTCGAAAAACACCTAAAAGAGTTTTTTTTTTCATAAATTCATCTAAGAGAAAATAAAAGAAAATTACAACAAATACAACCATTATAGCTAAGATAAAACACATCAGGAAAAAATTAATATGACTGAAATTACATGAAAGAACTATTGACTTCAATGAATAGGAAAGTACAACAACAATCACATCTTCCTCTGAAAGGTTCCAAGGCAGGGACAGTTCTCTCAATTTGTACTCTTATATCTCAGGAGGTTGGCCTTTTCCTTTCTTTCTTTATCAAATAAAAGGCAAATTCCCAAATTCCTGTTGGGAGTTGAACCTATCCTTCTGCATTATTAGCAGACCTCATGTCAAATTTCCTACAGTTTGTTGAAGCCATGGCACAACAAGACATAACATGTCTTGACAAGTATGATGTCTAGTGAGTTTCTTGATTGCTACCTTCTCATTCTTGTGTTCTTTAAATAAAATTGCCAACAGTGAATTCTATTTCAGAGTCTCACAAAGTTATATCTCAAGGTTGCAAGAAGATAAATCCTAATTGCCTTTCTCATAACAAAAGAAAAGGAAGAGGAGGAGTTGCCAACTGCCATGGAATATTTTGGCAAAGATTTGGTCAGCTTTCAGTTCTAATGGTAGTTGAATCCACCAACATTATAAGTCCTTGAATTGCCATATCTTAGCTGTTCCATTATTAATCAAGTTATAGTGTATATAATATTCAGTCCAATAGTGATTTCTGATATGTCTTGTAATCTTACTGTCCTTTAATAATCATTTTTTTTACCATATTGTCACAAGTCCATCCAATAGAATAATTTATTCATCAATTTGATAAATCTAAAATCATATATAATATTAGAACCATTGCTGGAAAATACAAAGTGATGTGTCATCAGCCTTTACTATTGTTCACTAGAATATTAGAACCAACTGAGGTGGTGATTCATGTTGTTCCTTTCATGCCTATGGACCATAATAAGATCCTTAAGCAGGAACAAGATCTCAAACACCTATTTGCTTTCACATGCCATGATGCTCTCAGTGACAAGTGGGCAGAATTGATAGGACCTTAATATGTTAGAAATAGACATGCCAAAGGCACAGAAAGAGCAGAAGAAAAAGTATCTATTACTCATCAGAAACATCAGACACTCCCCAATCATGCAGTCATAGAAAATGACACAGCACAGACCTAACTGGTATGCTTTAGTCCTCTATCAGGCAAAGGAACTTATTTTAATTGTCTGCTGGGATGCTTTACACTTCTCTGAGGCAAAGAAATTAAGTGTTGATGCATTGGCTTTAAGAAGCTTCTGCAGCCAAAAATGAGATTGAAAAGTTAGTGTGCACTGATTCCTTGTGGGTGCAATGACAGGTGTTTGTTCTGAATTGAAAGCCTGCAGAATATGTGCTGCAGGTATCAGAAGAGAGAATCCAAACTGTTTGCCTAATAATCTTAGGTATTTGATCATTTAACTTTGTTAACAGTAGTATATCCATAGTTTATCCTCTGGTTTGGATAATCATCTGAAGTCTTTCAGTCCTAAATAACTTATTAATTAATTTTATTGAGTATATCCATTGACCCAAAATGCTTAATTTCAACTTAAGCATTTGGTCATCAATCTAACTCAAACTTAAGTTAAGCATATACCAATCTCTTGTAACTCAGTCCAAGTGTCAGTGACACTAAATCTTGTAACTCAATCTAAATGTCCCCATCCTCATTGGGTTCCTTGCAACATTACTTGCCCAAAAAGCTATTGGAAGAGTGCTCAGAGAGAGACCTCAAAAGAGAGAACAAAAGTGACTGAACTCTCCTCTGGTGGCATCATTTGCTCCATTCGCTTCACTGTCACCATTTGCTGCACGGACCAAACGCCGTACGGTCTCCATGCCCCGGCTTCTCGGCGCATTCCCTGATACGTCACCAGCAGCCAACAGAACCAGGCCGCCCGTCGTCGACGACCACGGCGGCGGCCATGGCGGTTCCGACACCAGCATGGTCATCATCCTCGCGGCACTCCTATGCGCTCTAGTATTCGCGCTCGGGCTGAACTCCATCATGCGGTGCACGCTTCGGTGCGGGCGTCGGCTGGCGGTCGAGGCTGCCGAACAGGCCAGGCTGAAGAAGCGGGCGCTCCGCCGCCTCCCTGTGGCAGTGTACGGCTCGGGAGCCGACATCCCGGCCACCGACTGCCCGATATGTCTGGGTGATTTCGCCGACGGCGAGACGGTCCGCGTGCTCCCCGAGTGCCGCCATGCCTTTCACGTGGGGTGCATCGACAAGTGGCTCGCGTCGCACTCTTCCTGCCCGACTTGCCGGCGATCGTTGCTGGGCGATGGCACCGGTGATGGGGCTGAGGCGGTAAACCGATCCGATCGGGCAGAAGGTGCTGCGATGGACATCCCAGCGAGCTGAAGCTGCCTTGGCTTTGCTGACATGGACTCCTGATTGGAAATTCTTCATGTAAATTACACGATTTATGATGTATTTGATATTTATTTTTTTCTTTTTGGGTTGTAAATTTGTAACTTAATTAAAGTAAAAAAGAGTCGATGGATAGTTTTATCATTGAAAGTATTTTCTAAAGAATAAATAATTAAGACGGGATTCGAGCCTAATTAACACTGTCAAAATTTTTACTAATAACACCTTCAAAGTCATAATGTATATAGAATATAATATACATTTAAAAAATATTTATTAAATCTTTATAATTGAAAAGAAGGCTTGCCAATGGATCAATTGTTAGAACGAGAAATGAACGAAGAATGAAATAGTCATTACGCAATTAGTCAACCTACTACAAGAACAAGAAGTTCTCTTCGAAAACTTCGGCAAGTGGAGTTAGCCAACCTCAACATATAAGAAGACTGTGCCAGCAATTTCCCACTGCCATACAAAGGTTACTTAGATGGAGATTGTGTGGATTCACAAAGACGAATTGGTGCAGAGGAAGCTCAAGAGAGGGGCATCAATGTAATCCCCCTCGGATTAGCCTTCTATATCGTCGTCAACACAAAGGCATCAATAGAAATAACTAGTTTGAATTTATTTACAGTGAATATAAATTTATATAAGATTATAAAATAAAATAATATATATATTTAATTCATTAATAATATAAAATATTTACATAAATTATTTAATGAAGGAGATCATATTTGCATTATGATTCTCATTTGATAGAATTATAATGACATATTATCAAAATATGGAAATGATCATGATAATCTATCATAATTTATTTTTCTCAAATGATATCGTTCCTAATATATCTCTATAAGATAGTGCTCCGATTGAAGATATTAATCTTGAATTGAAGTAGAAGGAATTGCAGATGAGATAAATATTTGATAAAAGCATTTACAAGTTGATTAGAAGATGAGACATGAGATATATACAACTCATTATTTTGAACTTTGTTACGAACAAGATGTAAATCGATAATTATATGCTTCATTGGAGAGTAAAATACAAGATTAGTACATAAATATATTATCTCGATATTATCATAATATATAAATGAAAGATTAGATAATGTAATAAATAGTCAATGTCGCAATGATTTAATCCAACAAAGTTCAGCAGTTGTAAAAACAACCGCTTGATATTCAACCTCCATAGACGCTTGATATTCAACCGCCATAGGAGATCTTACAACACAGAATTATTTTTTGGAATGTCAAGATATTGGATTGTGATAAAAAAATATGACATACGCACTAGTAGATATATTATCATTTTTATTACCTATCCAATGGATATTTGAAAATGTATATAGTAACATAAGAGAGTCCTTTAAAAAAAAAAACCATGATTAGTAATATCCTTTAAATACTGGAGAAGATGTTTAATAGTTATCCAATAGTTGAAAGTAGGCTTATGCATAAATTGAGATAATTTGTTCACTATATATGCAATATTCAGATGAGTGAATATCAAATACTGTAAACTACTAATAACTTGATGATATTCAATGGCGTCACTAAGATTAGCACTACTAACACTTACGAGTTTGTTATAATAATAATATTAGCTTCAAGTATTTTGGTATGATCAAGAAAGCTATGAATATACTCATGTTGAGAAAAAAATAGATCGTTTATCATATGGATGACTTAAACACTAAAAAAGTAGCTAAGGTACTCAAGATCTTTGATAAAAAATTTGTTTCTAAATTAATTAATTAATTATTACTAATTTATTATCATTAATAATTAGGTCATCTATATAAATTAATTAAAAACATAATTATGCCTTCATGGGAATAAATAAATAATAAATTATTAGATTAAAAATTATAAATTTTAATTGAGATTAAATATATTCGAAATTCGTGATACTAGGTACTAGGAGCTTACTTAAAGACATATCGAGGAAGATTATAATCAATAAAATCTAGATATTACCTAAATATATTCTCAGAAATATGACCAACGATCAAAGTATCTTATTGTTAGATAAGACAAGATATAAAATAATATAAATTATTATTGACTTTATAATTAGGTTAAAGGTGTTAGAGTACTCAAAGCTTAGATATTGATGAAATCTTTTTGCAAC